TTTTTTCATGAAAAAAGTGTGCCTTTACACAAAAAAGGTTGAAAAACACTGCTATAGTGAGACACTTGAACACAAGAATTAACTTCTCAATCAACGAAAAACAGATCAGCAATGTCGTTTGGCTCGGTTTTTTGCCTTCAAAATTCATTCAGCATTTGATTTATGGTTCATGAGTACCCTGCATTGTCCTTAATGGAGTCTGCCACTTGAACTACCAGTCTCAGCTCCAGCTATTTTCTATACATTAAACATTCATATCCTTCCTTTTAACATGAACTTGGTTTTTTGGGGGGGCAGCCCGTAAATAATGGGTGGTTTTTGGAGAGCGTAAGGATCACAGTACAGTACGTGCAATATTTCCAATAGATCTTGCAATCGTCAGAATGTCAAGGGCTTTAAAGTCACTCACTGCGCTAATCTTCGTGCACACGCAACCGATTACCTGCCTTTTTTACACCAGGGAGGCAAAATACTCGCAGGTACGAAAGATCCAAATTGGTTGAAGATTGGGGGGGTGGGGAGGAAAGAGAAAGAGAAAAGGGGGGAACAGCGTTCGCGATTGGTGTGGCCGCTAAACCAATGAGGATCCGTGTCTCTTAGCGGATAATTAAGATGAAGGGGGTGTATTTTGTTACGGTCTTTGACCAATCCCCGGCCTGGAGTGTAATCCCTCAAACCAATGAACGTTCAGCTCGACTCCTTCTCTTTTATTGCTTTAGTAGATGCGGGCACAGATTGAATTTCTTGGCTGTTCCAGGTTCTTGTACCCCTCCCCGCCTTTTTCTTTGGAGCGCTAGTCCCTCCCTCTCTCCCTCCTCGGGGAATGGAGGTGGGGGGCAAGCGATCTGGAGGGCCTGGGTAGTGGGCTAAGCGGCAGTTAAATTCGCGCTTGTCAGCTGTAGGCGCCCCCTTTATTTGTTTGTTTGCTTGCTTGAACAGACGGGAACCCTCCACCACCAAGTCATGGAGTAGGTTTCTACGGAATAACAACCCTCTCCCTCCCTTCGTGTGGGGCGGCACGGACCCAGGGTCAACACACACACACACATACACACCGAGTCCAGGGAGGGGGCTTTGGAGGAGATGGAGAGACCCGCCGGGGGCGCGGAGGAAGAAGGGGAGCCATCGCTGCTCACCGTCAGACACGAGCTGAAGAACGGTGAGTCTTGCCCGCCTAAGCTAAAGAGGTGGGGAGGACGCTGGAGGAGGGGCGCGAAGAGGAATCGTCTTCTCCCCCACTCCGAGAAGTCCCCCGGTAATAATAAAAAAGGAGGGCGACCCGAAAGAGGAGGAGGGCTTCAGTTTAGAAAAGTGTGGACGGCGTTGCAAAGGACGGCGCGGAAGGCAGCGGCGTGGGAGAAACAAAGGCTTAGAAGAGAGCGTCGCCTCGGGAGTAAAAGGGAGCGGGATGCCGTGGGGCAGCCGGCCAGGAGGGCGGTGTTGGGGCTGGCAGCCCAGGGAAGGGGCGGCGACTGGGCCCAAAGGACTCGGAGGGAGAAGGTTAGGCAAAGACTAAGCCGGTGGCGAAAGACGCGAGTGGATAACCATTTCAATCTTGTACAGCGTGAACACTTTAATAGCCGGATGGTAGCAGCTTGACTGACGAAATAAAAGGTGGGGGGGAACTTTCGTGGCCTCTAGCCATTATATTATTCCTGACCATTCTGAATAAAAGTTACGGTATTTAGAAAACTGCTAAAAAACATCCGAGGCCACCAGATTCTCCACTTGCTCATGTCTGGAGGGGGTTGATGTTTGAAAAAAACATAAAACTTCTGTAAGGATCAATAATGGTTCTGCATTTTGGCCAAAGTTCATCTTTTAATAAATTCTTGGTTAGTGTCAGTTCTATAATTTCTGGAGACCGATGTAACCAATAAAGAATTCTATTCTATTCTATCCTATTCTATCCTATTCTATTCTATAAGTGCTATATGTATTCTGTTTTACCCAAAATTGGCCATATTTTTGACAATTGCTCACAATGGTATATTTCCAAACAAAAGTTTAGCAATTACATATAGCTAGTGGATATTGTTGACAAAATAACATGGACATATTAATAAAGCCATCAGGAATTGGGATCAACTTGAGAGAATCTTTACCTGTACTGTCAAGATATATTGTCAAGATTCATGCTACCTGCCAATGGCATAATACAATATTTTTAAAACTTCGCAGAATATTAATTTCACAATCAACTACCTCATGACTTTTTCTAACTTGTCATTTAAATTAATACTAGAATTACCTACCAAGCCCAGTGTTCTTCCTTTTTATACTGAATTGTAATAGCTTTTTTCTGCTTAAGAAAAGAAAAGGGGATGTAATATAAATTTTAGTATGTTTCTTTCCCCTTTTGGGGCGATCTGTTTATGTGGCTCTTGTATTGTACCCATTTGTATAACCCTGATGAAAAATGGGAAAGATATCCCTCTGGATATCTAATAACCAATCAGGATCTTCAAAATGCTCTCTACTTCTCAGCCAAAATTGAGGATAATACATTTTGTTAATCCATGAGGATAGCAATTGGTTAGAAGTACTTGTTATCATATTGCATCTATACAGAAAGATTGAACTAGTTAAGAATTAGTTGTCAGAAAAGTTTGAAGTGAACCTGCAGCAATAAGATACAAAATTTCAACAACAATCTTAATAAACTATTCTAAATAAAATCCAAAGAGTTATTGTTTTGAAATATTTTTATGTTCTTTAAAACGAAATCTTATATTTCTTAAACAGAGCATATTTAATATATTATTTGAAAAAACCATATAGTAGTAATTAACAGACAAATTGACATGCACAAAATGGAAACATGCCTATAAATGGTATCATTTAAAACAATACTTTTGAAAACATTCTGTAGATCAAGTATTATACAGATTGGTATAAAGAACACTTTTTAACTCTTATCACTGAAAATAGTTTTTTAAATAGTATTATCTGAATCAATTCTTTCATATTTTTTATCTCTGTATCTTAGGGTCTCTATTTGTCATGACATTCAGGGTATTTGAATGTAGGCATTTGAATATGCCATAGAAAATTTGACAGGATCTCTAAATTTCCTGGTTTGTGTCTAAGAACTGGTAAGAAGAGCCAAAAGATCAGCATGGGCTCAGTTATGGTAGGTGCTGGTTTTGGCAGATTATTATCGTGATTCCAAGGAAACTATGGCTTTGGTGGATGAGGAAAAATGATTTAGATGATAAAAAGTAAACTGTGAGGAGAAAATTGGAAAGTTGAGAACATACTAATTAACCTTACATTGTTGGTGTGACAAGTCCCTTCCTCATAGCCATCTCTTGGAATATGACCTGGAGTAAGCCTACACTTCTTGATCTTATTGGGCAAGTGGTTTTGCAGACATTCAAGCCTGGAACCATCAACTACTTAAAAAGTGACAAGCAGCACCTTGAATTGCACATGGAAGCTAAATGGTATCCAATACTTCCTCAAAGTAAAAGTATTGTATGGCATACCAAGGAAAACTCATGTGCAATCTATTACATTATTTTAAAAATTAGTTTTCTAAAAAAGCTGTTTTATTAGAGGATTTTTGCAACTGTTGAAATAAAAAAGTGTATTAATCAATTACATCATTTTGTTTCCAGAGGATATTTGAAATCTAAAAACACATCTAGCAGGGCTGTCAAGAATATTCAAAGCAACATACACACAGCATATATGATGTATCACTTTTGAAACAGAACAATTGTATTGTTTGCAAGATTCCATTTTTCTCTTTAGAAGTTCTTCAAAGCTATTTCTGTCTGCATGAGTAACCACTTCAGTTTATGTAGATTTTATTAATTATCGTTAACATATTATCTGTTCCATTTAAATGAATATATGATGCAGATGCCTTTATTTTATAAATGATATTCATTTTAGTAGCTAAGGTATGTTGTGGATTACAGAATGTATCTTCAGTATTTTTGTATGCAATATTGAAATATTTTGTTTTCCCTTTTCTATTTCTGTGTGATGTTACAAGAAGATGAAATGTTAAATATAACACAGTATTTGTTTTTATGATCTGATATGGCAGTTTTTCCAAGTAGCTCATAATATCCTATTGATGAACAACTTGTGTAGTTATGGTAGATAGAACAAATGCATTAGTCAATGTGTAACAAAATTTAACTGTATTTTTATTGCTTGGGTTTTCCTTTAAAATCATATTAGTCTGCATAAAATGATAAGCATAATATTGTACCATAATTGTACTGTATACATTGCATTAAAATTAAATGGGAGTTGATTTAAAAATATTTATTTCATTTTAACATATATGAGAATCTTTTTGAATAGATAATGCTCTAGTTTGCTTATTGATCACATAGACCACTATTAGTTGTTTCAGTTTAGAGGCTTAATGTATTGACTTCAAGTGATGTATATATATATAAACCTATCCAGAATTTTGCTACATGCAGAAAAGTGATTGATCCAATTAATAAGAATGTTGTGATATAGAATTGTAAATAATTTAGAATTTAAGAATACAAATCCTGGCAACAGTGACTTATCCTTATTCTACCTTAACTAGTATATTATAACATTCATACAACACTTTGAAATGATTAGTTGAGATGGAATAATTCATTTTCTCATTATAAAAATCTATATACTTTAAATAAAATTATATACATTTTAATTGTTATATACCTGGAAATCTGAATACAATGACACTTTAGTGACAGCTGTGTTATAAATCTGATATGAATAATAGAGGAATCTTAATCATGGATACCATATAATTTATATTACTACATGTTTGCTTGTTAGTGTGTGTAATATTGACACTGACATGTTTTTTTCTTTTGTTAGCAAACTTGACAGGCCACACAGAGAAGGTGGGCATTGAGAACTTTGAACTCCTGAAAATTCTTGGGACAGGAGGTATGAATTATTTAATGTTGCTAATAAAGCATGAATGTACTTCTTAAAACATTAACTAAATAAAATTCTATTTTACAGATAAATATTTTGAGTGGGTGGGGTAGGCAGTGAGAGGTATCAATAGAGAAAAGTCTTCCCATGTAAAGCAATCAGGCAAGGAAGTATAATTTTTTAATTATTTATTAGATTGCATTCTTTTCAGTTAAGAGCTCCTGCAGTGTAAACTTTGCTCCCTCCTCCTAGTTTGTAATCACCCAATGAGATCCATAAATGAAGGTTGGTTAGAGGTGGTCTCCCCACTCTAATTCCAGCACTTACCTTCCAAGGCCACTTAATTTCAGGCAAATCAAATCCATTTTTGGAAAGGCTGAAATAGCTGCAAAGTCAAGTGCAGCCTGACTCAATTCAAAGAGTCGGGGAAAACATTCTAGGTAACTGGTAATAGAAACAAATGACTATAACTGTTATTTTCAGTCTGGATCATTTCCATATACTTAGTTTTATATTCCATATTTCAAATCTCTGCCAAAGCGCTGTTGGAGTACAGTTGTTCAATTCAGAATTGGTCTAGTCAGGAGCAACAGTGACTGA